TATAACTCTTTGTATGTCAATGGCCATAGTCGCCAAGGCTTATTTTTAATAAAAAAAAAAAAAAAACATAACACGTCGATATTTATTCCAATGTTAAAACCAATGAAATTAAAGTTGTAATATTACGATCTACTTGTAGGATAAACACGAGATATACGATATCTATGCATATATGACGTCCTTTTAAATATTAAAATAAAATCAAAATTAACATAAAAAGTTTTGTTTAATTATTTTTTAATACCTCAAATTTGAGTTATTATTTTATTTTTATTTTTAATATGTATCCTAAATCAAAAATACCGTACTAACATACCTAAATTGATTATCCACACGGTTGTATAAAATTTAATTCGAATACCACGCAGCCCAATACTTTATATTCTATATTTTTTACCTAAACTACTACTTTATATTTTCAATAAAAATATATTTCAAGTAAGTTCACATCTACTATTTTCTCTGCATTAACCCTCGATGTAACATAATATGCACTCTGTAAAAATAAATCTATAAATTGGCAAAATTAAATACTAATTTTATGGTTAAGTCCACACATAAGTACCTAAAATATAATTGTATTTTCTTAGTATATTTTTAGATTTTATGTCATATTTATTCATTCATAAGACGTCGATTTAATATTTAAGTATATTTTGTATATGTGTATACTTTAACTAGACTAGTGGCGTAAACATATTTTTTTGAGAGGATAAGAGATTTAAAAAATGTTTTGAATTTTCTGTGGATTTATTATAATTATATAATTTATAAATTTTTTTTACAATAATGTATTTTGATTAAATACATTTGATATTAATAATAATATTTTAATATAAAGTAAGTTTTTGATTATTTAAACATTTTCAAAAAGGGTTTTCAAACCCCCTAATCATTTCATCACGCTGGATACGCCATTGACTATAACCATTGAAAATGTGTTTACCCTTAAAATTAATCAATAAGGACTCTCACATGTTCGCAGTAAACTAAATTTGTTATTAACCAAAATAAACTGATAAGTGATAACTAAGGATGAGAAGTTATAGGATTTTCATATTTTTTTCTGTATCTTCTATTTATAGCTAGGTGAGATAAAAATCTGTTTTATAACCTAATGAATCGAAATTTGGTATTTAAATTTTGCATATTTTTGCATATATTGGTAGTTTTCTTAAAAGTTGCATATTCATGTTTTTTTTGTGCATAAAAATGCATATTTAGTAAAATTATGTGGAATTTAATACAACTGACATGAAAAATTTATTATTTTATAGAATTGTATGTGTTCGTAGTCTACAATAATCAATAAAATAAAAATGCAGATAGCAAATTTGAACATTATAGAATTATAACATTTAATAGTAGGTAGGTATATAAAAGTAAATCTAGGATTAGTATCTTATCTAATAGTTTATTACTCAATTAGTCTGACCAATCATTTTTATATTGATTTTTATACTATATATTTATTTTTATATTAATTATTTTATCACTCAGTTAAAAATTATTTATATTTTAATAGAAACAAATTTAATGGAATATTATTTATATTAATTTATTTTAAACATGTTTTTATTTATGGGAAAAATTGCATATTATAATATATTTTTTGCATGTTTTTAAATTTTTTATGCATATATCATAATTTTTCCTTGCATATTTGCATGCATATTTTGTCTATTTTAGCTCCTATAACTTCTCATCCCTAGTGATAACATACATTAGCTATATAGTTTACAAATTGTAATTTAAGCATTGTCAATGGATAAATTATGTCAGTTTTACTGTCCAATTAATGATATAATAGATAATATGATATTATATAATGTTAATAAATTATTTTTCCATGTCAGCAATTTTTTTAATAGTAAAAATGGTCCAAATTTTTCATTCAACACTTATCTTAACACTTATTTTTTTTATATTATATTAACATTTATTTTAGGTAAATATCATAAAAGCTCACATTTTCCACCAAGTTAAGCAATATTATAACAAATATTTAATAACTATATTATTTTAATTCTGTCTACCACAATTATACAAGAAGAAAGATCAATTGAGGTATATTGTAGATGCTTTGCAGAAAAATATACTTATAATTGGCATTAGAATAAAGTGTTTTTTTTTTTTTTTTTTTTTGTATCCAAATAAATTGTATGTAGCAGTAAAATTCATCAATCTTAAATATTGGGACTAAATAAAATAAAATATATTGGAAAAATGTATGAGTAGTTAAGTTAGATATTCAAAATTAAAATAGATTTTTAAAAATAAATATTTCTTTTTTTCTAATAATTTTAATGATTTTAATAAAATAGGTACAAAAAAAAAGAGTGTAATTAAGTAACCAGTATGCAGTACAATAAAATTGGTATAGATTGTACCTCATCATTAAATAAACCACTGTAATGCATGTATTAAATTGGAATCAAATAATAAACCATTAAACACGAAAACGATTTTATATAAATATATCATAAAACATACTTAATAATGTAGACTAATAACTGTCAGTTTTCAAAATTGTTTTGTGTGTACATTGATGTATCATGGATTTCAAATTAAACACATGCGTTAAAAGGACCTTATGGACACCTACGTACTAAATTTATTTTAATGCCATTGACCAAACATAAAATGTATATTTTAGATAGGTTGTGATTATGCTTTGCGCTAAATTTTAGTTTATTTATTCACAATAAAGATATAGTTCAGTCAGGAATGGATTTAACAATTTTCCACTCCTATACAAAAAAAAAAAATTGCCGTTATGATTTTAAAAAAAAATCACCCCTGTATAACAAAATATCCTTACATAATATCATTTTCTATGTATTATGGAATTATTTTTTCATTTAACTTAAATTCAATAAAAAACTTTCGATTCAAACACAACATTTTTTCTTTATTTTTATTAGGTAGACGAGAAAAAAAATATAAATTTATAAAATAATTATTTGGTTATATAAGTAGTTTTAATGTTAATTCATTATTTTTAAAATGAAAATTTCAAGAAAAAAATTAAGGACTTTTCTATACAAGAACAAGATAAATATTAAATATAATTTTGCTGCGTATTAAATGCTACCTTATGCGGATGCATAGTTCGCAGTACCTTAAATCCGCCACTGAGTTCAGCTGCTATTAATAAGGATACAAACATTCAAATCAATAAACAGTGGTCAGGTGATGTGATCTTTAATATAATTATTTATCTTTTAAAACAATTTATCAAAAAAAAAAAAAATCTCTCTTTTTGAGCAAAACATTGATTTTTTAATAACCAATGATTTTTTTTCTGTCTATCATCATCTCTTAGTGCATTGAAAATGTTTCAACTTTAAACATTAAAATTTATTTTAAGTAGAAAACCTGACCTTGTGAGAGGATCAAAAGTAAAAAAAATTTCAGTACTTGAAACTTATTTAAAAAATTAAGGAGAATCGAAAGTTTTTAGGCTAAGTCAGTATTCGTCAAAATCGACTTGGTTTTTTGTTATAATTCAAAAACAAACAACAATAAGTACTACGTACAATTCTCACCAAATTTTTATACTATAATTGTCTATACATAATACAACATGTCAACATATAAAATATTTTTAATCTTTTTAAGCTATTTATAAACATTTTCAATTTTTTCTATTAATAGCTATAAAAGATTATTTGTTGGCTCAGAATTTTTGAAAATTTAATACAATAATATACCACATAATTTTTTTTATATCTGTACAATAATATTTTTTATATAAATTTTAAACTCAAATTTGTCAAAATAGCAAAAATTTACTCATTACATAGAATTTGTGGTAAAAGTATAAAAAATCTACAATTTAGCTGAGTTTCGAACATTTTAATACAATATTGTAACTTAAAACTTTTTTAAAAATATACAATGACAATTATTTTTATAGTTATTTAAAATTAAAATTAGAATGAAATTATATATTTTATTATGAATAACAATGCTCATTATTTTGTCAAAATCTAAAAATATTATTTATGAAGACTTAAAACTTTTTCCTCCATTATAAATTTTACTATGCATAATGACATTTTTAATAAATACCTATATAGTGTAGTTTTATAATATTATCTATTTATACTATTTAACCTATCCACACTACAGTTTTATAATAGGATGATATTAAACTGTAAATTCAAATAACAAAAAAAAAATATAACGTGGTAAAAGTATATATTATTTTAATAATTAAATACTTTAAAATAAAAATGAAGTAAGTGTAATGCTTTTGAAAAAAAAATTAAATCAACCTACTGTAATTCTTATGGTAAAATATATAAATTTAATAGTTAATCAAAAAACATATCATGATATTAACTCTACCAGACCGTCTCAGCTTAAAATCATTTTTCGCATAAAATTATACATCATTGAGTTCAAATTTAACATACCCATTGTTGTGGCAATGACACCAACTATACAGCAGAATAAATCCAACTTGTTCACCATTTTTTTTAGCTTAAATCTGTTAACAAATTATTTTAATACTTCATAAAAAAAATTATTTTTCTTATGTAGTACCTAATAGAGTATGGTCAATCTATCCGTTTATGAATTTATGATTAGGGTAAAAACACAAGTTTTTAATATAGATACTTCAAATTATTTATAGTAATTTTTAATGCGTTTTCAACAATGGCTGACAAAAAGCGAATTGTTTATTAAACCGATATCGTTGTATAAATGAATAAAAAGGGTAACCGAGAAATATATTGTATATAAGTACCTACATGCATACAGAACATTCAGGTAATTTAAACTTTGTAAAATTGTTTTATTTTAAAAACACAAAAATCGTCAATGATGAAGTGTTTACTATTAAATGAATCACCCTGAGTACATATTGGCATATTGCCTATATTTACATATATTTTTTACAAGTCCTAATATAAAATACCTATGCATATATGTATAACATATGTGTATGATATATTCTTCGTTGCGACATCGTTCACAAACACTGTCTATGCGCAGTTCAGTATATTTCTGTAGAATATTCGATACACCTGCTACACCCATCAGCGCTTGTATAAATGTATAATACTCGTAAGTCAGTATATTCGTATATTTTTACGTGTCCATTCATGACTGTTTATTATATATATATATATATATATATATATATATATCCTTGCCACGTTATGATTGGAACTTTCCACGGCCATCAGCCACCATCCCGTTTTACCATGACCGACTACGACTATATTGAAGTACGTATAAATGGTAGAATTTACTCAAAATCGATTTATATCTTACATCATATTAAACATTTCTGACTTAACTAGTTTTTGCGGTCAAATGCGTCGCATCGATGTAATTGTGTTCAATGCATGATGTTAATAAGTGAATAAATAACTCTGATAATGGTAAACTCTGACCTTGAAATGTTATTGATGCAAATAAAAAAATGTAAGCGTGTGTAAAATTCTATGTGAACCAAATATGTATTTACAGTTTAAAAAAAACTGCATACTATTATAATGGCATTTTATGAATTTTAACCTAATACAACTTATGAAACCAATTTGTACAATTCAATACATCAACGCGACAACGAGCATCAATAATACTGGGGTTTATTATAAAATAACATAATTTTAATTTTAATCAGTGATATTAAATATATTTAAGATATCGAAATCCAACGATACGTGTCTTATTTACTGAAAATCGTCTAATAAAAACTGTATTTAGTTTAATCTGTTAATAAAAAAAAAAAAGAAAAACCACAAAAATATTATTATATATCATATATAAAAATTAAAAGTAAATACATAAATAAATCAAAAGTACAAGTTACATTAATATAGATATATAATTAGTTAATATATATACATCTGATTTACTTACATTTTATTTCAAACTTATTTAAATGAAAACTTTATATTTTTAAGTATAATACTGTATACAATTAACAAAGTTTTATATAAATAACAGTAAGATAAAGCTTAATTTCCTTGAAACTAATAACACCCTCCGCCTGCCTAATATGTAAAATACATATGCGCTCGTAATACAACTTAACATCTTGATTCTTGACAAGCTCTAAAGTGTATAAACAAAGATGCTATATTATATAGGTTAAGGAGATGATGGGTGACTACGGGAATAGAGCCAAATCCTGCTTGCTGTCAATTATTATCGGATTATGGAAATATTGAATTGAGGTAAGAAAAGAAAAGTCTTAGCATAATTCATATTATATAAGTACATGTTGCTTCAGAATTACGTTAACCGAATTTTTTTTTTCAAGTTTAAAAACAAACTAAAATTTAATAATTTATTGTATTTTATTTAAAATTATAATCCATGGCATAATTATAAAGGTCTATTTATATTTAAAAGATCTTAAAAATTATTTTACAATAGTTAACTTTTTGCAAAAAGAAAAAAATTTGTTAAAGTTAATAATTAATTTGTTATTAACAGATTATTTTTTGTTAGATATCACATTACCTGGCCAAGTTGATTGGCGTCTATTACTGCAGACTATCAATCTTCACTACGTAAATATCTTTGTAGTTATCCTAATTGTCAATAAATAAATTAAAATTTAGTGTGACGCTGTGATACATAATTTCAACTAGCATGAACAATATATATGTTGTATAGTGTATATACATATATGAATTTAAATATACTGGATGTGTATTCTGATCCTCACTCACAGAGAAAATGTGTATAGAAAATGTTTAATGTCAATATTTTCAAGCATAAAGTAATTGGTAAATGTTCCATATATTATATTTATGTGTTGAAATGATGATATGTTACAGGAAAAGAAAACATTTTATATCATGACCAGAAATATTGACTAATATTTATAGATTCATTAAATGCTTAATGGTTATACAATTAATCAGTAAATTAATAAATGTTGGTTGTGAGTTAATATTTATAACGCAAAGTCGTTATAATATTAGTATTATTTGTAAAGTTCATAAAAAATTCACAAAATTGTACCTATTGTATGACATATTAAAAGTTATTAGCCAAGCATAGAATACTGAATAAATATTTATGCAAAGCAAACTAAAAAAATAATCAAACGTTTCAAAGACCTATATTAGCTTAAAATAATTACTCTAAATACTTTTAAAATTGCATCGTGCATAGAAAATAATTATTTAGTTTAAGTTATTATTATGAAATTGTAAAAATTGCTTCAGTCAAAATCGTTATATTATACTTTTATAAAAAAAAAAATGTGCGTTGATTTTTTATGTGAAAATATTACTTTATTTTAGTACTTTATATCATACAATTCATCATTTCCGAGCTTATTTTATTTCTTTTATCCGATTTTTGATTAAATATAACATAATTATATAAAATATACTTCCGACAGTTTATAGAGGTTACAGCTCAAGCATCTCAATCCGTCTTTAAGCAACAATTTACTCTCATCACATCAATAATATAGCAAATTACAATAATAAATTAACAAGTTTTTAATTTTTATTTAACATTTAGATTTTGAACTTTCCACAGTTACCATCTACACGAATTGGTAATGTTTAGCCTTCCATGGAGAATGATTTTCATAGAATTGTTGAATATGTAAATCAATTCCCACATTTGGTATTGCAATTGAATCCATTTATGTTAAATTACGTTTGGAAATATTGATTTATGACAATAGTACCAAGAGCTGTACAATATTCAACCAGGAGATCAGAACAAATAATTTTGTAGAAAACTACCATGCGTCACTGTTAAGAGTGATAAAGCCACATCCCAAAATATTGGAGTTTCTAACTATAATTAAATATATTCAAGATAATTTGTTTGGTGAAATGAACAGTTTCATAATAATATAATAATATTATTTAAGTAGGTGACATACAAAATTTAAGTAATTTATGATTTTTTTTTTTCTTTTATGAAAAAGAAGAGAAAATGTTAACTTACATATTATATGTTTTTATTTTTAACTGTTACACGATTCGATCCATGTTTCATTCAAACCATTGTATTAATAATTTATGTTTGTGTCTCAGGTATATATAAACATATAGAATACAAGTAAAATTAAGTGCATAAAATGTATACATGATTATTTTATATTTTAAGAAATAATTTATATAGAACAGAAAATATTTGATATAAAGTAATGGTATTAAAATATAATAGTAGTGATGTTTAATTGACTAATAATGATTAATTTATAATTGTTTTCTTATTTATGTATAAATAGAAAAAGAGAGATAAATTGTAACTTATATGTAATGTTATAATTTCTAAATGTTACACAATACAATCTATATTTAACTTTGATCAAAGTTTTATGTTGGTATCTTAGATAAGTATAATATGATATATAGAATAATATTACACTATATGGATACAGACTATGGGTAAATATTATATATACATTTAACCACTAACACTTGATTATTAGGAAATATTTAAAAATAAAAAATAAAATAAAAATAAAACATTTTATGTTTTTTTTTTTATCAAGATATAATTAGTAAATTGTATTTGTATTACATAATAACTAGATTTTATGTTAAATGGATATATCTGGATAATCTAGAAAGAAGCTTATATCATTCTCATAGTTCTATTAAAATTTTTGGAAAACCAGTATAACTTTGAATTATAAAAAGCTAAGGGCAATTTTATTTAAATGTATGTATATCTATAATAGCATCGTTCATTATATTACATTTTACTATTCATCGTGGATTTATTTATTTAAAATAAAAAATAAATAGGTTATTTTATTTCAAATAATAATATTTTTTATATAGATTCAAAATGGAGTACTATCAAAAAATGTAATTAGGAACATCCTTTAAAACTTTTCTGCAAATATAAAACCTTATACAATATTTTCATTTTCAAGACGAAATGGTTACAGAGTAGACTGGTGTATAGCTCAAGAAATTAGGCCACATTCTGATATGTTTTTTAGGTTTTCAATTATCATTTTATTACTAAAAATTTCAAATTTAATAAGTACTTTAATTGGAAATATTGATTTAAATAATTTACTTACAAACTAAATATAAAATTATTATTATTTAACACCTAGGTATATGTGTTTGTTTTTACAATTCAATAATTTATTTTTTTAAGTTTAAGATGATTTCCACAATGATACAGATGCACAGTGTACAATATACATGTGTACTATTTTACTTAATAATTAATACTTGCTGGCTACTAAATAAGAAACTATTTATAATTCTATTACAGACTATATTATACTATAGTACATGGAATCAGGGAAGAGCAAGATACTTAAAAATTAGTATTTCGATACCAGATACTAAATACTTGTATTTGGAGTATCGAGATAGTAGATACTCGATACTCGAGACATTTGAAAAAATCACTCATAGGATTTTTTTTTAATTTTATTTATACACAGAAAATTACGAAAATTTGATGTAGACCTTAAAATGCCACTGAATTCGTTTTTTTGTCAATGCTGAGAACACATTTTGTTTTAATATTTTCAGTTTCTGTCTTAGATAGTTTTTTTATTTTAAGATATTTTCTATTCAAAATGAATGGACTAAAAAAATTATTTTGTACTTCAAACATATTAATATATTATAAGAATACTGCAAATGTTCGTCGAAGGTACACGGTGTAGACTTCTAGTGCGTATACTGATTACTGTGTAGCTTACAATATTTGTGTAAAAAAATACTTGTCGAACACTCGTACTTATCTAGATCAAATAATCTTATCGTGTTCATTACTTATTTTATCGCCGTCATCAGTCACGCAAAAGGAAGACTTTACAGACATACAGTGTACAAGCACAGTGGCGGTTTTGGCAATAATTTTCTGAGGAGGCGACAAATAATTTCACATAAGAGACCTGTGGGGGGGGCTTCGCCCCCCACATCCCTGACCCTATTTAAAAAGGAATAAAATCAAAAATGAATAATCTGTGATCTGTATACTAAAAAAGTAAAAACTCAATAGTAATACATTTAATTGATAAAATTGTATAAGTACATAGTTTTGTGTAAAAATAACTAGTACTTTCTAGTAGGTATAAAATATAAATAAAATATAAAATAACAATAAATAGGTAGGTATATCTAAATTTCAAAATTTGCACTTTTTTCTTTAAAAACAATTTAAAAGTAAAAATGCATTAAACAAATAAAATAATAAGCTCATAATATTTAATTTAAAAAAAAATGATTCAATAAATCTCCAAGAGTTCCAAGTAAACATACAATTGGGTCATATATTGGATTCATATTTTTATACAATAAGAACTAAAACCACGAATCACAAAAAAACTAGAAACACTCAAAACACTAGAAACAATAGGAAGTAGGGACTAGAATTACTATACTTATACTTATAATTGATAATGTCTTATAAATAATTGCATAGGGACTAATCAGTAATCACTAATGATTAATACAACATACAATATTACAAAATTAATTATTATAGTAACCAATAACTATACATTTTCAATTTTCATAATTATTTACTTTTATGCATAGAGATATACGATTTATTTTGATAATTGAAAATGAGCAGTTTTGTGATTGTGTCACTGTGATAAGCCGCGAGGTTGATCCTTATCACTGAAGGAGGCGAAAATGTTTATTGCCGCCCAACTAGCAAAGCGCATGCGCAGTTCAAACGATTGTTTATGTGTGTGAGTGTGTAATTTCGTGTACACTTTGATAGCAAGGTAGGCAACAGAATCGGTTGCCGCCTCAAGCCTCTACAGCGGGCAGCTGTTGTAGTACAGTACGAAAATAACGTAATATTTTTAATATTTTTAATGCTTTTCCTATCATTGGAAATATTATACATAATTGGCCATTATAGGGGCGCATGGCATCCGTTTTAAAATTATTTTTTACAACAATACAATAATATTTGTACATTGAATAAAAAAAGTAAATAATATAAAATAAAAAAAAAATTATAAAATAAATATTTTTAATCGGATATAAAAATTTTTTTTCTTTTTTCTTTTTAACTTTTCAAGGGAGGCGGTGCCTCCCTTGCCTCCCCGGGAAAACCGCCACTGTACAAGCATGAATAGTACGATGCACTATGTACTGTGTACAGTCATATAGATTACGGAAGCAAACTTAACATAAATAACTACTACTAAAAATTAAATAAATATCATTGCTATAAATTATGTATAATAAGTATACTATAAAGCGGTCTTTTTATGTTCTCATACTATATTTTTATTTTATATACAAAATAATTCTGTTATAATAACCATATGTACGATTATTATTTCAAGTTGTAATATTAAAATAAATTGTACGAATACCTTTGCACGTAATTAATTTTGAAATGCAAAAATATCAATATTTATACTAGATATATGGCTTCATAATACCATAGTACAAATTATTATTGCAAAATTTACAAGAGTATATTTTAAGACTCAATATATATTTTAAAAACATTTATGAAAAGACATGTAGCATGCATGAACCCCTGAAACAGTTACATGCAATTTTTCTAATGATGTAGTAATTTAACTTGCAAACTTAGTAAGTATAAGACTATCATCAACTTGAAGACTATTAAAGTAATAAAAATACACATAAATTACACCCAAATACATAATTTATTTTTTATTTATTATTATTGGGTCATTGGGAACGTAATGTAAATGTTAAATTTGTATTTCGTATTTAAAATTTAGAAATTTCTTCTATAGATTTAACTATTAGAGTTCTAAATTTCAGATACTTTATTGCACTTATCGTTTATCAACTAATGTAATCAATATTATCTTGACAGAACTGACTTCTTTCACGGCTACAGTTAGACTTAAAACGTGATATTAATTTAAAAAAAATATTATTATT